ACATTTCCCGCTCATTTTCAGCCCAAAAACCTAAAAAATGATCGTGTTCATGAAAATGCACAAAATGCATTCTGAGCAAATGTGGTCATGATTATACTCATTTTGAAGAGATTTTCAAGCGGAACACGAATTTTGCATTTTCAGACATTTCTTGAGCATTTTTAGCTGAAAAAAACGTGCATTTTCATTCCTAAAACGAATTTTCATGGAATTTTTCAAAAAAAAAGTATTTTTGAAAATTTTCAAAGAATCATTTTTCAACATCTGTCACATTTATACCCATTTTACAGCATTTTCAAAGCTAAATTCAAAAATTGCATTTTCAAACATCTCCCACTAATTTTGAGCCCCCAAAACTCACTTTTATCATTGCTCATCCCAACTGTTTGGCACTTTTTCAGTCGACAAAATTTGCACATCAGCCGACTATCCGCATTTTCGATTTTACAAAATTTTGAATGATTTTTGCATTGAAATTCTGTTTGTTGGTGTAAGGATCTTCTGGAAAACTCGAAAAATCGATTATTGATTTTTCAAAACTTCAAAAACCTGAAAAACATTGCACATGCTCGACATGTTTGCACCCCAAAATGCACACCATTCCCATCATTTTCGCAAATCAAACATTTTGGGTTACTGTAGATAGTTAGAGAGGATAATACTGTCATTTATTATCTGGAAGAAATTGGAAATTAAAAAAAAATTTCAAAATTTTTAAAATGTCAAAATCATCCGAAAATGATCAAAAATGCACAATGAAATGTCAAATTAGTCATTTTTCATTCAGGGAAAAAATTGGAAATCACTTGACCCAAAAAGAGAGGATGAAGAGAATTAGAGAAAAAGAGAAAAAGTCAGAAAATCGAGCACACAGTGAATAGTACTCGGTTTGTTTGCACAAAATAGAGAAAAGTGACGACGATCGAATTTATGAGCGGAAACAGTGTGAAAACATATAGACGAAAAATGCGAAAATTCTGAAATTTAGAAATTCTGAAATTTAGAAATTCTGAAATTCTAAAAAATTCTGAAATTCTGAAATGAAATGAAATTCTCAAATTTCGTAGCTCGGCGACTTTGAAAGCGGCAGTTCATCTGGATAGCTTCTAGTTATGATTGATGCACCATGTATCAGGGCATAGGATGGTTCTAGAAAAAGAGTACCAGTTGGGTCAAACAACACTTTACTTACTGATTCTGTTTCATCTTATTTTCAGTCTGAACCATCAGGAACGCTCCGAATGCATGAAATGTCTGATTTCAGTTCCAGGAATTGATAAAGCGATCTCGAACATCATGCACTAGTTCCTCATGGCTGCTATTGGGACCAGCTCCAGCTGCTGCTGACCAGGCTCCTAATACCCGGCTCCAAGAGATCATGTCAATCACTTTGTTTCTTTGTTATTTTCGGTCTGAACCATCAGGAACGCTTCAAATCATCCTGTCATCTCATTGCATGAATTGTCTGATTT